TGTTGTAAAGGGGAGCAGAGAAATGCAGTGGTAGCTGGCTGGAGAAGGCAAGCGAGCCATCTTTTAAGATAGGAGAAAGAACAGCAAGACGTCTGCTGATGAAATGATCTGGTAGAGGGGGAACCCATAATGTAAGAGGGGCACGTGCTGGAGCAATGTCCTCAAGCAGGCGCAAGGGGACAGGATCTAGGGCACAAGTAGAGGGGTGGTCATAGCCAGGAGCAGGGACTCTTCCCCCACAGTGACAGGAGGACGGCAGAGCAGTGAGCGGCTGTTGGCACATGGGTGAATTAGCGCTGGGAGTCTGAGGAAGTTCTGATTGCTTCTACTTTCTCAAAGAAGTAAGAAGCAATGTCATCAGGGCAAGAAGGGACTGGGGAAGAGGGGCTGGGGCTGAAGGTGGAAGAGAAAGTGTGAAACAGTTATCAGGAAGGGGGAGACGGGGTGGACTGGAGACCCGTGGCAGGACTGCGGGATGGCACTGAGGACCCCCCTTGAACTTTCCAGTTTTGATCTTAAAATGAAACCACTTGGGGTAGGCCTCATTCAGCGGCACAGGTCAGATGTGGAGCGAGCCAGGCATTGGATTTAACCAGGGTTGGGGTTTTGTCAAGCAAGCATGAAGAAACAAAATGAGGAAAGGTAGTTGAGGAGTCTGCAAGGTAGGGATTATTCTGATTTTTACAGTGGCAACTGTCTCTGAGCTGCCCTGACCCCTCCTCAAAGCCCCTCCCTGCTGGTGCCTGAAAACCCACCATCGGCTCCCTGCTGTGGGTTAGGCACGGCCTTTTCTCTGCTCTCATCCCAAAATGAACTTCTGAGAGCATGGCCACAAGGAACCACCAAAACCTGGGGAAATGAGCTTCCCACATGATGTTCCTCTGACCTGGAAAGTACCTCAGGCTCACACACTCAAAACCGAATTATCCATCACCCTTCCCAAGCCATTGTACGACAGCTCTCCCCACCTCTAGTTGGACCCAGTGCCCATCCATTCTGCCTCCTAAGTCACTCCTTACTCCACACCCCACCTGCCACACCCCAGTCCCAGCAGGGCCACCATACCACCAACTCCATCCCCTCTGTGCACCATATGCAGCAGCCCCAAATCCAGTGCCCAGCATCTTGTGCTGGACTTCATCATGGCCTCCTGATTAGGCTCTTTTCCATCATGCTAGTCCAGCCAATCCCACTCCATCCCCCTCAGAATGCTTTTTCCCCCCGCACTCATCTGCCCCATTGCTGCCCTTTAAAAACCCTTCAGTGGCTCTTGGTGGCCAGTTGTATCCAGATCCCACCCCATTTCTTCCTGTCTTACCCCCTTCACTCCCCTATCCCCTCCTTGTGTCCTGCACTGCTCTCTCTGGGCCTCTCCCCGACTCTAACAGCACCTCCCCTGAGTTGTGGCTTACCCCACCCCCACCTCTGAGGTTGTGAACTCCTTGAAGGCCCCATCATGTCTGCTTAAGCACCCTTCTCCAGCCTATGGTTTACAGTAGGGGTTCAGTCAGTTTTGCTGACCAGGTGCGTGGATGAAGACTCTGGAGGTAGGGAAAAGGGATTAAAACAAAGGGACTCCTTAGCCAAGTGACCTAACTTAGCACCATCTATTACAGGACAAGCTAATGGCATGTGCTTCCTGATGGGATGCACTGAAAAGGACACAACATCACCTATGGGATATTCTTGCCAAAAAAAATAAAAATAAAAGTTTAATCTGAATCTATTCGTGAGGAAGCAATAACACAAATCCAAAATGTGGGATATTCTACAAGAGCACTGACCAGGGCTCTTTAAAATTGACAATGTCATAAAGACTTTAAAAAAAAAACAGGGGGATTGTTCCAGATAAAAAGAGACTAAAGAGACAAAACTAAGTGCAAGGTGTGATGCTTGATCAAAAAAAATTTTTTAACAGCTATAAAGGACATTATGGGGCAACTAGAGAAATCCAAATAGGATTACATAGGAGGTTAAATTGTATCATTAAATTTCTTGGATATGTTAACAGTATAGTCATTATGTAGCAAAACGTCCTTGTCTCAAGGAATTCATGCTGAAGTATATACAGGCGAAGAGTTATGATGTCTGCAACTTACTTTCATAAGTTTCAGAGAAAGGGAAAAAACTGTGGGCAAAATGTCAACAATTGGCAAATTTAGTTCTCTAGGTGAAGGGTATATAGGAGTAGGTGGGTGTTCATTGTACTATCAGGTTTTGCAAGACAAAAAGTTAGAGGGGAAGGAAGTGAGCGGAGGGAGACACTCCAAAGAGGGGAGCTCAGGGCCTGGCTTGAAGAAGCAGGATTGGGAGGAGAGGGCTGCCCTCCACTCCAGCAGCCCACAAGCTGGGTTGTGGGCCTGGGCTGAGCTGGGCTGGACACTGGAGTCATAGGTGCCCAGGCAGACACAGACCTAGAGTAGCTCACCACCTAAAGAGGTTCAGACCCAAGGAAGCAAACTTAGCTGTGAGCAAACTTACTTAGGAGGACTAGGGCTCTGCAGGAAACAGCCAGATCTCAGGGAGACCAGTAGGGCAGCCTTCGACTGGGGCAGGGCTGGAAGGAACATGGGCCCTGCCCCACCTCTGCCTAAGCTGTGGCAAGGAATCAGGCCTGCCCAGGCCCATCCCTCCCCCCAAACACCCTTTGAGGGGTGACAGCCTGAGTGTATCCTCCTGTGTGAGGAACCAGGCTAAATATAGATCCCCAGACATAAGATGCCACTCAAAACAGATTTCCCTAGAAAAGACCATCTGGCAAAGGATGTCTAGAGCATCGTCTGTCGAGATCTCGAAGCAGTGTCGTTCTCCTGCAAGCCAACATCCGGAATGGGAATGTCCCCATCCCACCTCTCTAGATCCCAGCTTAGTGCCTCAGTTTCCTCCAAGATGGCTCCCTTGCTGCAGATGGAAAGGCATTCAGTCCCACCTCCCTCTTTACTTGCATCTTCAAGGAAGAAGAGGACGAGACCAGGGATATAGGTCCAAGCTTCAGACAGTTCTGCCCAGGTGCAAATCCTGATTCTGCCACTTCCTACCTAGGTGACTTTGAAAAAGCAACTTCTCCCTGAGCCTCAGTACCCTCCTCCACAAAATGGGAATAATGGGAGCACCTTCCCCTACAGGCTGTCGTATGCATGAAAGTACTTAGCACAGTGGTAATGCTCGATGTATAGGAGCTGCGCAAGGTAATGTCCCCCAACCCCTCTCTCAGTGCTGTCAAAAGCAGGAAGTCCTTCTTTCCAGCTAACTTTGCCCCTTCCCTTCAAGAAACACTGTGGGTCAGGTGGGCTAGGGGAGTGCCCGGCCATCGCTGTCAGAGCAGGACAGGCAGCAGGAGGGAAGCCTCTCTGTCTGGCACAGACAGTCCTGGGGCTACAAGGTACCAGTCACCCAAGCATTGAGGCTTTAACCCCTGCAAGAGGCACAGGCAGGGAGGCCTTCCAAGGACATTGCAATCATCCTTCTACCTTTAGCTGGGCCACCACCAACCTACTCACCCCAACATGTGGGAACCCTCTGGTTCAGGTCACAACCTGGGGAACTGCCGTGTTTCCACCAGGACCAAACTTTGCAATAGCCCCATTCAAAAGCCACTGCCTCTCATCATATATGGGGGAAAGGAGGGCTCTTGAAGGGCAGGTCTTTCCTCCAGAGATGTGGAGTGAAGGGGAGGGCAGCTGGTCCATTTTACTGATTCAGAGATCACAGGTCACAGAACGTGTGGCTTCCATGGGAGGCAGGGTTCCTAACCTCCCAAGGGTAGGGTGGAAGAACGACTATATCTGCCCAGGACCAGGGGTTGGCTTTGGAGGGGATCCCAATGCTCCTTTTCCACTCTCCCTCAAGCTGCCTGAGTACCCTCCTCCCCCATTACCCAGCTCCTGTTTCCAGAATCTGGAAACAGGAGCTGGGAAACCCAGAAAGTCCATATGCCTCTCCCCAGACCCAGGCTGCCCATCTGCCTTGGCCAAACCCTGAGCCCTTTCCCTGCTCCCTATTCACCTACACGTCAAGTTCAGCATGGCTTATCCTGCGCCTGCCAGGAATCTCAGACCTACTTCCATTGTGGCTGGGGCTTCTGCCTCCAGTTCTTCTAGGGCTCCCCCAAACTGGCCTCAGGATGAAGGGGTGGGCTGAAGCAGTGGCCCCCTGGGCCTGTGCAGAGACAATACCCCCAGTTCTGACTCAAGGAGCACCCAGATCCTCCAGGGGCAGCAAGAGTCAGTATACCTTCTCCTAGGAGGGGGTCAGCTGGGCAGGGTGGTCCCATATCTGGTCCCATATCTGCCCCACCCCAGCCCCAGCAGCAGACTCCAAGGACCCCTTCCTCCCTGCAGCTGCCACAGCCATTATGTGCCTCTTCGCCTAGCCCACTGCCTGCCACGCCCCCATGCAAGCCCCTGCTTTAGCGGCAGAGCTCAGAGCCCATGAGGCCTGGCTGCCAAGTCAGGCTGTCAAAGTTGGGAAACTGGAAACAGAAATAAATCCTCAAAGCTCTTCGGTGGTAAAGGTGGCTGCTGGCAGGCCCGGCACCCAACATCCCAGGTCCCCAGCAACCGAGCTCCCACTGACACCCCTCAATACACACATACACACTCAGATTATACAAAAGGGGGATCAGAAGGCAAAGCCCGGGAGACAATTGGGCCAGCCGGCCCTGACCCTCCCTACAGGCTGGCCTGGGGCTCTCTAGTAGTGCTCGCATTCCCTGGCCCAGACCTGGCCATCCCGGGGCTTCCTCTTTCGCCCCATCTCCATGACAACCGTATCCTTCGGATGCTCCAGCCGCCACAGAATTGATCTCGAAATGTAGCTTTGTTAGCAGAGCCTGGCTGGCACGGAGGGCGGAGGGCGGCGCCCGCCTCCCAACACGCGTGCCCACCCCCCCACCCCACCCCCAGTATCCCCTCACAGGCCCCCAGCCTGGCTTCGGGAGGGGCGGGGTCCCGGAGCACGCGGGGGCCCTGGGGATAAGGTGGCCCCGCGGCCCCACTCACCGCTCCTGGCCCCAGTCGCTGGGTCCAGCCTCTCACGGAAGGGCCATGCGGAGGCCGCCGCTGGACTGACCGTCCCACTCCTCCGCTGCTGCCTGTCGGGGCTCCTGCGCCCGCTTCTGTCCCTTCGGGTGTCGGAGCCGCGCTGTGGAGAAGCTGAGCAGAGATGGGGGGACGGACGGTAGGAGGGAGGAACGGAAGGAGAGAAGGAGGGAGGGGAGGAGCGGGAAGGGCGGGGAAGGGTGGGGGTACTGCAGGCAGCGGGTGGCGGGAGCGGAGCCAGGAGGAGACAGCGACCGCCCTACCCGGCGGGCCCGCCACGCCTCCACACCAGGGGCCGGTGTGCGCCCTGACTCAGCCCGGGAGGGTGCGGCCAGCCCCGTCCAGCACAGCCCCGTGCCGGCCCTTTAAGAAAGTGGGGGAAGGGAGCACTGCGAGGTTCCGCCCCCCACCCTCCTAGCCCTGCGGCCCCAGCTGTCCTCTAACCCCCGCCCCCTGGCAGGACCCTCCGGGCCCAGACCCTGAGCTCTCGGATCCGTTGTGCCCTTCTCCAGGTGAAGGCGGGAGCGGTCTGGTCCTTGCCCTCCACACCCAGGGGAGACCCGACCCTGACCGGGGAGGAGTGGGGAGTGCAGGGGGCAGGCAAGGTGGGCGATCCAGAGAGACAGAGAGACAGAGCCTTCCCTACCTACCTACCACCAAGACAGACAGAGGGACAGACAGACTGGAGTATGCGGTTCAAAGGAGGGCTAGAAACAGAGCTGGAAGGGGTAGGTACAGAAAAGGAGGACAAAAGGGAGTACCCTGAGGGGGGAGGTGAGGAGTGGGTCCAATCAAGGACGCAGAGTCCCAGCACAGGTCAGGGCATGGCCACCCTCGGCCGAGAGACAGAGGGTGCTCTGGGCTCTGTGAACCATCTCTCCAGGAACCTGCCCCACAGACCCTCCTCCATGGTAGTAACCACTGTGAAGCCCTTCCCACTCCCCAGGACCGTAGCTCTGAAGAAGAAAGTTAACAGTATTGTACCTGGGCTAGACACGAAGAAGAACTTCCTGGCTGTGAGGCTCCTGCAGGGGAAGACTGCACCTCTCAGAGAGGTAATAAAGGGCCCTGCTCATGGGGATCTAGGGAGCCAGGAGCTGGGGGGCAGAGGGGAGGGTGAGCAGGCCCAGTCCCACAGAGAAGGGTCCTCAGGTTAGCATCAGGCCTTACCACAGGAAGCCACTTTCCTCCTCTCTCCTACCACTCCAGTCCTCCAGGGGCTGTTTACTACACCCAGCTCCTTCCCACCTCCAGACCTTTACAGGTATTCCACCCTCTGCCTGGTCAGGCCTTGATCCTGCTGTGCTCAATGAACTCCTTCTCAGTCCTCAAATCCCCATTTAAATGCTCCTTCCTCCATAAAGCTCCCTTTGACCTTCTTTCCACCCATACACACACAGTTAGGGACCCTCTTCTTAGGGAACAGAGGTTGACAGAAAAGAGGACTCGCTGACCTATGAGGGATATCTAAGCTGTGGCAGTAAATGGAGGTGCAGGATCTGAAGTAGGATTAGTCTCCTCCCTCTTCAAGTTGGGCCACAACTACAGCTGGGGTTTCAGCAACCATGGTGACACTTCTGCTATTAACTACATCTACAATGCACCAGAGTCCAGACCAAGTGCTTTCCATGTGTTAAATTTAACCCTCAAAATAATCCTGCAACCCATTTTACAGATGAGGACGCTGAGGCTCCAGAAGCATCAGCCACTTGCTTAAGGTCCCAGGAAGTCTGACCCTATGAATACTGCTGGGCAGTTGAGAAGGCACTCTGGCCTCACTCCTTCACTGTCCATCAAACCCGAGGACATCCCCACAGAGCCCAGAAACAAGGGACCACTCTGTTGCAGGTACTCAGGATCTTTTTTTTTTTTAAGATTTTATTGGGGAATTGGGGGAGCGGAACAGTGTTGGGGAATGGGGGAAGAGGAACAGCCAACCTGTTGTCCTTCAGTCCTAGTTGTGGAGGGCGCAGCTAGCTCAGCTCCAAGTCCAGTCGCCATCCGGCCGCCGGTCAGCAGCTCACAGCCGCTCAGCTCAAGGTGCCATGTTCAATCTTATTTGCAGGGAGGCGCAGCCCACCATCCCATGTGGGAGTGGAACCAGCAACCTTGTTGTTAGGAGCACGTGCTCTCACCAGCTGAGCCATCCTGCCACCTGTTGGCAGCTCAGCAGCAGCTCAGCTTGAGTGCAGCTCACTGGCCCATGTAGGAATTGAACTGGAGACACTGTTGCTCACAGCTTGCGCTCTTAACCAACTGAGCCACTTGGCCAGCCCCACTCAGGATCTTCTTGAAGAGCACAGAGGGAGCATGGCTTCTCTGTTGTCCTGCCCTGTACCTTCTGCCTTCTGCTACCTGCAGGCAGGGATGGCTGGCAACTGACAACCAGCAGGGGCTACGGGGGATTATGGTGGTAACAGGGTTTCATTTCCACACTCCTCGTCTTCAGGACCTCAAGTCACAGCTGGACCACCTTTCTGAGCTCCTACTTTCTCATCTACCCAGCGAAGATGGTCACAGCCCCTCCCTTGTGGGGCTAGGATGGGGATGAAAGGAGCTGATTTCTCATTGCCCACCCACCCAAAACGTGACACACAGATGCACTAACAGGCCATGGTTAGTCCAGCTGTAATGAGTGACTTACTCATTGAATGTATTATTTCTTCACTGTCCACCAAGATGAACCCTGAGCCCCCTAAGGCAAGGTCCGCCTTGTTCCCATGTATCCTCAGCACCCAACACACAGTATGGGTTAATAAATACAAGTGAAAGGAAAGAATGGAGGGAAGGGGAGGGAGGGACAGAGGGAAGGAGATACAGCTGTCTCTCTACTTAATCTGGTCCAGGCTGTCACCCAGAACCTAGTCCCTGGCCTGGATCTGCTCCCGTACTTGGCAGCTCTGAGAGCCTGTTGCATGAGCTGGCCCGGGCCAGGAGACCTGGGTTCTAGTCTGGCCTTTGCTGCTTCCTGGCTGTGTGGCCACGGGCAGCTCGAGCCTGTCCCTGAACCTCACTTTCCCATGTCAAGTGGAGCTAGCTCAAAGAACTTAAGGGGCTGTCACAAGGCCACAGGTGGGCTCTGTGTGAGAGAGTGCTTTGGGGGCCACAGACATAGGAGAGAGAGTTACTGTTATTATTCCTTGTAGCTACTTCTGCCTCTTGAAAGAGAACAGGATCAGCGTCCCCTCACCCAGCAGCCAAAATGCACTACATAACCCAGCATCCCTCCAGGAAAAGAAGAATCCGCAACTTCTCCCCATTCCTCCAAGTGAATTCCCTTTCCTCCTTCCCCACCTCCTCCCACTCACCTGAGGGTGGGTCAAAAGCCAGGTGCTGGAGACTGGGCAGAAGTAGGGGACAAAGTTCCCGGCCCACTCAGCCCCACTGCCTCCCCAGGCCCAAGCAGGCCCCCTGATCCTCCTCAGCCTAAATGGTATAGGACATCAGGGAGGAGAAGAGGCCAGAATCTTGAGACCCATCAACTGGAGGAAGGCTTTTGGGTCCAAACCTGGGCCCAGAGGAGGCTTGGCTCAGAGATAACCCGAAACACCCAATTCTCCCATCTTCCAGCTGGGAGACAGGCCCAGGGAACAGAGGCTGGGTAGGGATTCCCCAGGCCAATCCCAGAGTGCTCAATGAGCACCTACTGTGTGCCCAGTCATGTTCCAACCCCACCCTTGCCCCCTGCACCTCCAACAGAAAGGCCCCAGGCCCTGTTCAGTGTCCTCACCTGACACTTCCCACCTCAAATGTGATGTTCTAGGACCGCTCCTACACTTATACACCCCAACCATTTCTAATGGCCTCACTTTACAGGCAGAGGACCAGTGATGTCTACTCTTTCATCCACCCTCACTTGGCTAATTCTTCTCAACCCTCCAACTACTGCCTCATTTCTTTTTCCCCATTACAGCAAAGCTCCTTGGAAAAGCTGTCCATGCTCTCCAATTCTTATTCCATTCTCTCTTGAATGCACTCCAATCTGAGTCTCTCATCCCCTCACCCATGCCCACTCCACTGACACAGCTCATCAAGGTCATGAACACAGCTGCTGAGTACAGATGTACAGGTTGGACACTATACAAGTGTACCTGAGGTTCACAAGAGATGGAGAGGGAGCTGAAATCCAGCCTGCTGTCCCCTCACCATGTTGTGTGCCTGATACAGGCTACATACCGAGGGATCTCCCTTCTGTGTGCGTGCACAGCTGGGTCTACCTGCCTCTTTCTAATATTTGTATAAAGGAACTAGATAGACTGACTGTGGCCTGGTTCCCAGTGACCACCATAATGCCAAACCCAAAAGTCCATTTTTCAGGCCTCATCTTAACATAATGGCAGCATTCGATATACTCCTTCCTTCTTGAAATATTTTCTTCCCCTGACTTCCAGGACTCATTACTGCCCTGGTATTCCTCCTACCTTCTCATCCTCTTTTGCTGGTTCCTCCTCCTGACCCCAACATGCCGAAGTGCCCAGGGCCCAGTCCTCCATCTTCTCCACCTCACCCTGTCCCCTGGGGAGATCACCTTGCCTTCAAAGCCCATTTAAACCCTAAGGATTCTCAGTGTGTGATTTTCCAGCTCCAACCTTTTCCCCCTGAGGTCAGACCCACAGACCCAACTGCTGACCTAAAGTCTCCACTAGGATGTCCAAAGAACAGCTCCAACTCATCCCAACCAAAACTGACCTCCTCTTCCTCATCACAGTAAATGTTACCACCACCCTTCCCTCAGCTCCAGCCAAATGCCTGGAAGTCACCTTTGCTTCTCTTTCTCTCACACCTCACATCCAAGTAAATCCCATGGGATTTACTTTCAAAGTGTGTCCCAAATTGGCCACTTCTCATCAGCTTTGTGGCCAGCACCCTGGCTTGAGCCACCATCACCTCTCACCGGGATTATTACTGTAGCCTCCTAACTGATCCTGCTGCTTCCACCCAGCCCCACTACCCAACACAGCAGCACATTCCCAACACAGCAGCCAAAGGGACTGCATTAAATGTAAGTTAGACATCCTGTAAGCTCCAAAATCCTCCAATGCTTTCCAGGTCACTAAATGTTAAACCAAGTCTTTGCCATGATTACAAGGTCCTACATGACCTGGCCCCTGTCACCTCTCTGACCTCACTCCTCTCCAGCCACTCTGGCCTCCTCACTGTTCCTGTAACACACCAGGCACACCCCAGCCTCAGGACCTTTGCACTTGCTATTCCCTC